TGTACACACAGAGATACTGAAAAGTGAGAAAACCTGGGCTAAACTTCATAACTATATTTCTGTTACAATCTGTGCTAGAGACTACAGTGACACTTCCACCAGTCTATAAATATTTTTGTCTATCTCCAAGTTAAGCAAATACCAGTAATTGCTGAAAAGATAACCTCAAACTGCATTTGGAAACAACATTAGAGCTTGTAACCCACTCCCTGTTTGTTTTTTTCCAGCTAGACATTATTTTAAAGCGTGATGGAAGCAGAGAAACCGGTACCCAACACGGCAGACAAGCAGAGGAGAGCTGGAGCAGCCCCGAGTTTGGCGTAAGGGAGGACGGGGAGCAGGGTGCGTTTGCTTTCTGTGCAAGAGAAGGGGTGGCTGGCTGTGAACCCCATGTGCAGAGGGCAAGGTGACACTGCACCCTCAGCGGCAGGGTTCGGCTGGAGGCCCTTCCATAAGTTAAAAACAACCCATTGTTGGCAGAATTACTCCTTTGTGAAAGCTTCAGACCTGAATCCTCAGAAAAGTATATCCACAAAGGACAGGAAAGTTTCTGATAAAGAGGAAAAATGCAAAGGTCTGTAGCTCTGCTTCATGCTACTGTACTTGTTCCTTCTACATGCACAGTTCCCACTGGCACTTGCGGAAGATGAACAGGCCCAGAATGAAGGCCAGGGAGTAAATCCATAATTTAATCCATAAATTAACATACAGTGGGGGGCAAATGTACAAAATCTGTATGAAGGGAGGCTTAACTTCTGGATTTAATGACTTTTTAAAAGGTCCTCATCTGAGGACCACTGGCTTTCCCCCATATCTGCCATTAGTTATTATCTGCATCCAGCTAGGAAGCAGCAATATAAAAACACAAAACAATCGGTAAAGTAACAGATAATATTAAATTTAAATGGTAAGGTGAGGATGCTGCCCTACGTTGTTCCTTCTATTCAGGATCTTGCAAGTAAGAGTTTTGTATATATATGTTCCTTGTTCTTATTAAAGCAAACCACTGCTCATTAAGGAACAATTTTTAAATGTCTAATTATTAGCACTGATAATTTTTGATACCAACAAAAAAACCCAGGCCCCACAGTTGCAGGTATCTTCCACTGGCAAACCACATTCACAGATACCTTACTCTGCTGAAACAACTGAATTCGAAGTTTCAAGGGGACTCTCAAATTGACCATCTAATGAGAAAATCCAGTTTTCCTAAGTTATCTGGTTGCTAACTTCACACTGAGAAATCAGTAAGAGAGTTTAGTATATTTTTAGGTTAAATGTGAAGTTTTGTCAGTGAGAAGATACCACCTCTCTTGCAGCTTAAGCTAAATTCAGTTAGAACCTACGTCACTACAAGATGAAAACTTGGCTGAACTGATGTTAAGGGGTAGCCCAAGCCTTAGAACCAATTAATTAAAGATTTCTTCTTTAATGAAAGCCTGTACTGCAGAAATTATTTGCAGGTTGCTAAATGATACACCAAAACCACAGCTGCTTTATGTTTGAAACTTACTATTTCTCAATACTTGCTACATATTTCATTAAGCAATAACTTTTGTTCACAGTTTCTCCCCCAAAATCACTGACGCTTCCACTTCTTACACTCATATCTTATCCCATGTAAACCTTATTTTCCAAGTAATGAACTACAGATAAGAAGACAAAGACAGTAATTTTTCAAATAAAGTTAGCTAACATCAAAGTTTTATAAGATCTCGTGACAAAAACAAACCCTCCTCTAAAATTCTGTGTTCTTCTGATTATAACTGGTAATAGCAGAGTGAAACCGTTTTAATCACTTAAATAAAGAAACCAGCAGTGTCTGGTTACTCCCTAGAAAGTCTTTTTAGAAGACCGCACAAAATTATAATGAAAATTTGAGGACAAATCTAAAATATTTGCTTGAGATTTCCTATCAGGAATTGCTCTCACTATAACTATGTTGAGAAACAAGAATAATTAAATTTGAGTGAATGTTCTCGGATCACCATCATTTTGTAGAATGCATTCTAGATCCAAAATAGAGTTTATATTATTTCACAAGTTCAGTGGTCAAGTTTTACACAGTTCTGCAGTTAAGATGGTATTGGCCATGCTGTTTTAAGTAACCTTTTATTTTTCATTTCATAATACCTATTATTTCCTAATTGTACATCTAAAATTCAGTGCCAAAAAGATTTTTTCCTCCAGGTACAAGACTTCAGTGTTTCTAAGTGGGGCCAATTTTCACCACCTTCTTTCATGTTTAGAAAAAATGATAAAAATTATAAATACATGACGAAAATTAACCGGCTGTATCATCAGAACTAAGATTCACTAATAATTCAGTACATGTACAAATTTGCCCCACAAAAGAGGCAGAGATGCTCGGATGTACAATGCAAGTAGGCAGGACAGGAACTAAACAAATAATTATTTTCAGTGGATCTAAGATTATTCAAAAAGAACCATGTAATTACTTGTCTTATCCATATACTCAATTGCAGCCACAGCCTAAAAGCAATTCTAGCAATTCTGATCACTATAATTTACTACCTGAAACAAAGTGATATTAATATATAACATAGAGGCATAGTTCAAAAGTAAGACAACGGGGAAAAAAAGATTCACAATTTACAATCAGAATAGACTCCTTAGTTAAAAATGGTTCACTGTGTGTCAATTTGCTTTATATCTTTTCTTTATCAGTATGGGAATAACGACTCCACGTTTGGTCGGTGTCGACCAGCGCAGCGTCTCTCACAAACTGGTGTTCAAAAACTCCTAGCAGGCATTTGCTGCTCTTCTGTTGTTAATGTGGTTGTCTACTTTTAGGCAGAGACTTGTGATTTATGCAGTTAGTCACACTCAATCTCAAACACTGAATAATTGAAATACACAGGTTTCAAAAATCCATCAGACAGGGTATCTAATAAACAGCAATTACTGAAAAATCAGTTTTGAATCCCTGTAAGAAACAGAGATCAAGTCACTAATTACAATGGGGTAAAATTTTAATACACTTCCAAGACAATCAATTCCAGTAGTAAGTTAATAATATTGTTATAATGTTATCTGTTTATAGTCATCGCAGAATAAATCCACCGAAACTTTACAGTCTGATACTGTAATTTTACACAAATATTAGGAGTTACGCCTAACCTGGCTTCTGCATTCACTCAAAGTGATCAAACACGAAATGCTTCTTTCAAATGGAAACATACAGCTAGACTAGCATTTCCGAGGTCCGTCCCATTCCATTTCCATACCCATAAATAGGCTAAGTGCCTAATTTTAGCTAATAAGGAAAAAGTTGGCTGCAGTCTCCAGCGGCTGCCTAATGACTGTCTTTCACAAGCAAGCATTTTAAAGGTGCTGCAAGCTGTGTTGTCATAGTCGCTTTCAGTGTTGAATTATTTATAAAATATTTATCCTCTTATGTATTTGAAGTCCACATACTGGTTTTATCCTGTTACATCCTGTAACTGAAGCCATTAAAGCAGGATATACTAAATATTAGTATTGGATGAATATTTGTTTTTCTTACCCTTAAATGCATTTTTTCATTAAATCAGTTTTATCATGTTTATGCAGATACTGGCCACATTTTTCCCTATCATCAGCAGCTGGTAAGAAGTTACCTGAACTGTTAAATATATATGCCAAATTTCTGTACCTCAACTGCAAACCCCCAGGAACGGCCTGAGCACACCCACGGTGTACATTTTTACACTGCAGAGACCAATGCAAGATATTCTTTAAATTTTACCAACACCATTTAAATATCTGCCCCAATTAATCATGAGAGCAACTGACAACTACCATCGAATTTGTGCACCCTCAATGCAGGGACCCAGATCACTCCCAGCCCGGCAGCACCGTGGCGGTGAAGGTGCTCCTGCTGCATGGCCTTGGCTGGCATGGAAAGGAGGGTTCCTCATGCCACCTTCTGCTGCTGCTGCTTTCCGTAACGCTGTCTGCCGAGAGGAAGACACCGAACTCCATGCAGAGTACAGCTAACGTTTTGTTCCACTTGTCGCAATTTTTAAGAGCATTCTGAACAGCATGAAGAGATTTCATGCCTTCGTAGTTTAAGAAAAAACACACTTCCTACTGTAAACTCCCAAAAGAGATACAGCAACATTTGTGGAATACTTTGCCAATATATGGCTGTCTTATTAAAATTCATTTTTCTTAACTATGTAAGGTACTTGTTACATACCCACTAAATCCCTCAATAAATCACTTTCTATTGGTAATTAAGTCTGATTATACTATTTTTTTAAAGTGCCTTGATATCTACAGATAAAAGTGCTGAATAACATTATGTGTGTATGTGAAACAGGCAAGTAAATTCACACATAGTAAACCACTGCAAAAAGACAATGCAGAAGAGTCCACCGACACATAAAATCTGGTAATAAATGTCTGAGATGAATTAAGAATAAGTATGGGTAACCTTCCATTTTCCTCTGTTTTTACATCACCCACGTCAAAGTTTTTGTTGATCTTCTAGGTACTAGCGCAGTTCAGAAGTCCTCAGTTGTGTTCCAAATCCAGTCCATCAGAAAACAGGAGAAATTCATAATCCGTATGTGCCTGATGGAACTGGCTGATACAGCTGGAATATCTTCTAACTAGGATTTCTGGAGTGGCAGGGTTTTATTGTCCTCTCCCTCCTCCCCCCTCCAGTCATAGTTCTGAGAGCATCTTAAGCTACCTAAAGCATAATGCTCTTCCAATCCTTGCTAAACTCTGTTTGAAGGTACCCGATGAAGGAGACAATGACCACTTGCCATAAAATCTTTTTATTGATTGTGAAAGGAAAAGCGGTAAATTCCATCAGATGTCATTAAAAAATATGGATTACATCTTTTATACATACACAAAACCAGAAAAACAGCTTACCTGATTTTTTTGCCCCCCTATACTGGATCCGGTGTTAAAATACGAACACAGCTTAGCACAACTGCGAGGCAAAGGCTGCTACAGAGGTTTCCAAGAAGTATGAATTGATAGCAGAAGTCTAACTGGGTCTTCTATGAAACTGTGACCTTATACGGCCTCTCTGCCTTTGGAACCTTGTTTCTGTTGCTACCCTTTAATCCACTTTGCCTACAAATACCTACTTCAGTTTGAAAACCCGACTCGTGAGATTTGCCTCCGTGAACAACACCTGCAAAGGATACCTGTCTCTCTCCTGAACAATTCCTTCCAGTTTTAAGTAACTTTTGCACTTCAAACTCGGCAAAACAAGGCTGACATTACAAATTGCTATGCTAATACTTGGTAGAGTTTATCTACGTTTGCCAAGCTCCAATCTAAGATAACAGTTTAATTTGAAATGAAAACTATAATGGAAAAGAAAGGGAAGTGTAAAAAGGAAAGCTGGTATTTCCATGTGAATGCAAGCAGGCAGCAGTTAGGGAAGGGCCTCCCTAAAGCAGGCTATTTACTAGCCCAGCAAAAGACTGCAGACATTTACAGCTGATTCAGTGCCCGATCCCATTCTTGGGTTACTGTCCAGAAAGGTATTTCTTCTGTTCTGGCTGGAAAAAACAGTCCATGAGTTAAGAGCCTCTGCCTGCATCCCTGTGCCAAAAGTCTTCTGCACTTAGGGTTTTCAATTCTTGGCTATGAAATGGGAGTAACAGTTTTTGCCTGCCTTTCCAGAATTCTGGAAGTTAAAGGCTATTCGGTGCTGAGATTCAACCGTTATAGTTGTATTGCTATAATTTAAATAGCAATAATCCTGCTGTTTTACCTACAGCCTAAAAACAATGACCTAGACTGTTCAAGGACGAGGAAGACAGACTTGGAGTGCATGAGAAAAATCTTGTCTGAGGATGCAGAGCAAGCACTCCTTGCAATCTCATGGAAGAGGGGCGAGTATTTAACTAATGATGTATCATTTGTTGTTGTTGTTGAAGTCATATGCCATTAACACATGAGAAGCTGTCCTAAACAGTGTTCTTCCTGCATATGAGCTCTGGGAATGCTTTATTGAGTTTAGTCCTAAACTTGTATTTGAGTAGAGGACCATCAGCTTCTCAGATAGGTCAGCTCCTTGCATGTTTGCTGTTTCATACCTACCATGTAATATTTTGCAAACCATTGCTATGACAATGAAGTATTACCTTCATCAGTTCTTCAGCTTCTCAATCTGTTATTTTACATAAAACCCCAGATATGTATTTGGAAACTACGCATATGCACCTCCTCCATCCTCAGATGAAGATGACATCAAATTTTGTAACAGAAGCGTGTTTCACAGCTGAATTCATTCTCAGTTCTTCTGTCACCATGTTCAAAGCACAAATATGGAGCAAACTCAAGCCAAACATTACTACTGGTAATTTCATCTAAAAATAGAAGATAATAATATAACCTGCCTATACCAACTGCTGCCTGCCTCCTACTAACCCTAAGGAATACGGATCCCTTTTCCCCCAGCAAACCAATTTTCACAAGTCAGTGATTTGGCTAGAGTTTGCTTCAGCCAGACCAAACATTTCCAACACCTTGTGCACAACATTGCACGTACAGCCTAATACTTAGCATGAGACCATGACAACTGAGTGAAACCACTACAAATATTACTTTTGTCTTCATAGATTTCTTGAGTCCTCTGTAGGCTAAGTTTCCTGCTCGATTTAATCGATGGTGAATGGCTTGTAGGGACCTGGGCTTTGTGGATTTATGGGTTGCTGAAGGCAGGGTGGGTTTTTTTTTGTTGTTTTCTTTTTTCAGTATAGTGGCTGTTCCACACACTTGATTTTACAGGTAAACTCATCATCCTAGTAGCATATAAACTCATCCTCCCAGTAGCAGATCAGCATTTTGTTGGAAAGGCTATGTAAATTTCAGACAATTTTATCTTGAACAGACTTGGATTTCCACTTTTTCCCTATTTACATACTTAAAAATTGGTTTTATATAAAAAAAATGTAATAATGCTTCCGTTAAACATTCAACATCAACTTGTCTCAGACTGACTTTTGTTTTGTGATTTTACCTAGCATTTAACCTCCCCTGGTTTGTGCTTACCTGGTCCCTCAAAGGGCAAGAGTTTGGAAGGAATTGGGTCCTTAGTACTCAGGGGGATCAGGTAGAGATCCTTGATATGTCTGTTGTTATTAGCTACAACACCAAAACGACCACGACTGCTAAAATAGGAGTAGAGAGAGATATAGGCAACTTCTTCTTCTTCTGTTGCAGGATGGAAACGAATCAAACACAATTCCTGTAATACAAAAGCAAAGCAGAAAAATTCAACCTGCAACGTGCCAGCAAATACAACGGTAAAGGGCAAATTCCAGGGGCAAAAATAAATTGTACATTTATCACCCAACTCTGTTTTCAAGGCAATACTCTAGCTTTAAGAGAGTACTGCTGTTCAATTTGTAATATTAAAACAGAATTTGGTTTGTAATTTTCAGAAATACAAATTACTTGGGTATCTTACATGAAACTAAACATCTTGAGGCTCAAATTAATACGAAAGAAATGGAAAATTCTTAGTTTCATCGTTTTATCTGTATACTGTGCATAATTTATTCACTTCTGAAGTGTTTTTAATAGTAAAATGTATTACATACATTAAATATGTTCCTTTTCTTTAAAATTTGTATTTCAATCTTCAATACTGAATAAATAGATTATTTATCTTCAATCATTAAAAATGAATAAATAGTATGAAATTAAACTACTATGCAGGAGAGACAGATCAAGAGGATCTGCAGCTCAATAAATAAGTTTCTTCAATAAAACAAAAATTTCCAAGGAATAAGTGGTGTCAGTAGTTTTCCATGTGTGACCTATGTCACTATTTGCTATTTACTAATCTATATTATAAAAAGTTGTCATTTTATATTGCTGTATTTTTCTTCCGGGCTTTGCAAAGGATTTTAAGTGGATACCTTAGAAAGCGAAGATTTGAGTTTGCCAACATAATCCCAGACTGTCTTCGGTAAGATCCTCCCACCAATATGAATTGTATCTGGTAAATCCTAAACAAGAAGCATTATGGTAGCATGAGAAAAACCAAGAGAGACTGATGTCTACAAGCAGCGTGGGTTGCCCCATCCCCGTAGTCGAGTGGATAACGCGCTGCCATATTCTAGTAAACTTCCATACATACTTTTCTAATTGCAGACAGGCTATTTCCAAATTTCAAGGTGTGTAATTACGGCACGTTAGCAAAAGGCTAACACGAAACAGAAGCAGCATTCCCAAACGAGGACAGCAGCCGAACGTCCAGTGGTTCTGTACGCCCATTACTGGCTCTGTTTTTACAGGGAAGCTGCTATCTGAAACGCAGACTTTTCTCCACGCTTTCAGTTTCTCAGGAAATGCTGCACTCGTGAGTACAAGTCACAACAATTCTAGTGAGCATCCTGGCATGAGGACACCGAAACACATTTTAGCAAAAGCAACACCAAAAAGAACCACCAACCCTACAGTACAAGTCCTAAACCACACATTTGTGTTTGAAACTTCCTAACAGTCACATAAAATGCACTTCAGAGAAAGAAAGAAAAGCTTATTTGTTTTAGCGCCAACTTTATACTTATTATTTGAACGTACACCCTCCCAGAATGGTATCATCCAACTGTTTTAGTTGAAAATTAGTATAAAGGATTACACTTTCCATAAATGGCATCCAGTTAGAGAAGGGAACATGAGATTTACTTGAAAATACTGGCTCTAAAACTTCTTTTCAAAAAACGAAGCTGAAATATAGGTATTACTCCACGTTAGAGCCTAACATATGTATTGACCTTGAACATGACATGAGAAGTCTTCACAAATTTGTGAGGAATTTTTAAAGGGCTTTTTTTTCCCTTGAGCTACTTTGCCTGTTCCTAAAGGGATGCCATTTACCACTGCTACAGTTCTAATATAAATATATATATACACATATATATATACACACATATATATACACACATATACAGTGACCCAGCCTTTCTAGGAACAGAAACTGCCGAACAGATTAATTCTCAACACATAAGCATGTCAGCTCTAACCTCGCTAAGATAATCAAAACACCCGGAAACAGGATACGCTTTAGTGACAAATTTGGCCACACTTTGCATGTTAATAAATCCTTTCCAAATGGTGTTGAGACGAGAGAGAAAGAGGGAAGTATCGCTGTCTTGAGGCGATCGTGGCTCTGCAACACTGCAAAACAAACCCAAAACAGAAAGGTTATGGAATACAAATCAGAACGGTCCCTTCTGAAGAAGAGAAGGCTGAGAGGGGACCCTAGAATTGCCTCTAAATATCTGCAGGGTGAGTGTCAGGAGGACAGGGCCAGACTCTTCTCAGTGGTGCCCAGCGACAGGACAAGGGGAAATGGGGACAAACTGGAGCTCAGGAAGCTCCAGCTGAACCCAGGCTGCCCAGGGAGGCTGTGGAGTCTCCTTCTCTGGAGATATCCAAGCCCCGCCTGGACGCGGTGCTGTGCAGCCTGCTCTGGGTGACCCTGCTTGGGCAGGGGGTTGGGCTGTGTGACCCACAGAGGTCCCTTCCAACCCCTGCCATGCTGGGATTCTGTGATTCTTTTGTTCTCTTCCTCCGTCTTCCTATTGATCAAATACTTTATTTTAAACAAATAACAGATTTTTTACTAAATGCTTTGTTAATGTTTTCCATTACCTTGATGGTAGTGAAAAAAGCAAGGAGTAACAGAAAATAAACTGGTAGCTGCAGACAGGCAAAGAGATGCCGAAAGATATGACTTTCATACAATCAGGTTAGCACTATAACTGTTGTGATCCTGACTCTGTAAGAAACTAATCTGAATTATGTATTTTCCACTAAATGAGTCAACAATATGCATCCAAAAGATTCTCAAGTAAAAGAATTTGCTATGAACAAAAATTTTTTAACTGCAGTTGCAGAAGGAAATACTTTGCAATATTTATTTTACCAGAATATGAAGGAAAATCACTTCCTTTCAAGCTGATCAACTGGTTAATTTTAATTCATATTCATAAATTCTGATGTAACAGCATTTTAATATAGGGCGAGAATCTGGAAATGCCTTTAAACCATCTCACATACACTTGCTTTCTGTATACTAATGTACATACAGACTTCTAAGTCTGCATAATAATTCAAGTTTTATTTGTCTGCCTAAACACACTGCAGAATCTTTGCTGTAAACAGAACACTTAAGCTCCAAAAATTTACCAACCAGAGAAGGCAAATGAGGAGAGGGTAAGTTAAAAATCTGAATCAGGCTACCTGAACTTTAAAGCTGCACATGCCTTTAGACTGGGAGGAGGGGAACGGGAGACGGGACACAGGGGACTTTGAAAATAACCACATTAAAGATTGGGTAGCTGGGTTTACTATGAAGTATACGCACTTGACATTGGGTGAATGATGAACCGCTAAGTATCTTGGATCTGGTGAGGATGATGGTTTGGTCAATATTGATTTGGGGACAGTCATAACTGGTTTTGAAGTTTCATGTTTCGTGTCCCCTGCTGCAACTTTGTCAGGTGCAGGACCAGGACGCAGGGCTGGTGTCACAGTACCAGAGGAGCTGCTCATGGCTGTCCTGGGGTCTCTGCCAGAAACTGTGACGGTTGTGACAACTCCGCCAGCACAAGAGGCAGGAAAAGCAGAAGCCTCTTCAGGTACAGAAGAATCTGTATTGTCATGGCCCTGGGTTGTAGGAATGTAAGTTCTTTCTACGACTGGCTGAGGAACCGTTTCTGCTACTGGTCCAGCATCAGTTTCCATTGCATCATCAGAGACGGCCTCTTTGGCAGACTCCGCTGCTGGGGTCGGTGCAGAACTTTCATACTTCGGCTGAACTTCTGGTTTTGATTTTGCCTCCACCTTTTTAACAGAAGCCACTGACTTTATCTTCTTAGGAGGTACTTCATCTTCCGATGCTGAAATCTGACCTATGAATTTATTTTAAAAGCTTCTGATTACTATTTAACAATGAAATAGTTTGAAGAGAAAAACAAATAAACAAACAACACTGTCAACAGAAGAATTCTTTTACTTTGCACAAAGTCAGCACTGTCGATACCTGTACAGATTTTGCAGTTCAGGTCAAAAAGATGGGCTCGATGTTGACTTGTTGTATCCTTCAACATACTACTAAAAACATCTAGAGACGGAGCACTGTTGAAATGTGGTGCAGTTCGGGTTGACTCTTGCTGCTCCTAAAAGTGAACAAACACAAAAAAATACTCCAGATGATCATTAATTTCAACCATAAAAACCTCTTTGGAAACCATTAATTAACTTCCGAGCTTAAAAAAAAAAAAATAATTGAAGGCTTTGGTTAAAGCGTATCATGTCAGAGAGAATTCTCAAATAATGTTTGTCCTCATTTAATTCCGCAGTGTTCGGAAGTAGATAGCTAATGTGCAGAAAGAAAAGATTTCTCTGTAAATTGACAGCAAGAGCTGAAAAATGCACAGCATTTTAGAAGTGCGTGCAAAATATGCCTATCATGTGGTTGTTGCCCTCCTTCAAGCTTAAAAGAAAGATGTGCATAGCACACCTACTAGGGGATAACGTCCTTACAGGTCACTGAGACGATCCGCGCTGCTGCTGGTGAAAAATCTGAGGCCCTAGTCACCATTTATCTCCTTCGATGTCTTCCCGCTGAAGCAACAGGCAATACTTACATCAGAATCAGACACTGGCGGAGAATCTTCCATGTTTACAACTTGCAAGTGTTCCCGTTTTACAGGTATTTTCTTGATTTCATGAGATTTGCTTCTTGACTCTATAATCTGAAAGAAAGAGAACCATTTTGTTTAAAAGTCCATGTATTTATTTTATAATTTTATTCCATCCTTTCTTATCATTTGGCTGGTGGTAGAGAAAAGGTATATTGAAACTGAACATTATTAGTATTTTATTAGGAAGAAAATGGTGCATTAACGCAATACGGGTGGTAAGGGTCGGCAAACTCACTCTTCCTTGGTATCTAAGGACACAGGGGAAAATTGTGTTACTTACTGCTTTAGCTGGTTTCTCTTTCCATACAGATAGTTCTTTAGATAAAAGTTCTTCTGGTTTCATTCTCACTAGCTTTGACAGTGAGATTTCCTCACGAAGGACACGATGAAAAAGTCCCTGAAAACGAAACAGACTTTGTTGCCATGGTGAAGAGAACCTGCTTGGGTAACAAGCAAGGTTTGTAGTGCAGAACAGGCAGAACCAGTCCCAGTTTCTTAATTCTCTCTTAAAAATACCGGCTACTTATAAGCAAATTTGGAAAGGTGCAGCAACCAGAACAAAAGGATACAACAAACACAAAGTACGAATTTTCCTCATTATCACCGATACCTATTAATATAACTGAATAGGAACGTCAGACGTTGAGCAGCCGCTCCCGTTTCGTATCTATTGTAGAAATTATAAACAAGCAAACAAAAAACGTTTCAGGTGTTCTGCAGTGGATATTTTCATCTGCACCAGCATCCATTTTTTTCTTTTAAAGCATAAATCTGTTTGCGTACATGGGCAGTATTCAACCCATACTACAGAATGTTCGAAGAGAAATTAACAAAGTCTGTATTTATTTTAAGAAAGCCACTCTGTAAATAAATATTTCACACCAGATGCCCAAACTTAATAAATACACATGACCAATTAAAGTAGAGTTTGAATTCTTACCAGATAAAAATTTAAGATTTGAGTGGCTTTATAATAATCTTTTACAGTATAATTTGTAAGTCTCTATCTTGAAGCTCTTAATGTTGAGGGTAGAATTTGACACATCATTAAAAACTGAAAATATATTTTAGTATATGTTTACAGAAATTCCAAACCTGGTTTTTGGGGTCCTTGAGGTTGAACATGATGCTACGGTATTTACTCTTGTATCTGTTGTCCGTAACTTGAAATAAATTAAACATTTCCTTTTCAAATCATTGACTCTGTTAACAACAAAAAAGGGTACATGCGTTTATGTTAGGTGTGAATCCTCAGGTAGCATTCATGAAAACCAGCTTTTCTGAGGAAGGAGCTAACCTCGGCTCCTCCTCCCTGAAGACTCCTTTAGAAGACATCTCAAAGCCAAAGCCTGTCTCAGGACCTTTCACTGTGAGCTACGGCAACCCTTCACGACTGTCCACAGAAGACAGCCCTTGTGAACTGACACCAGTCTCTACAACTGCTCCTGCTCAGGGCACTGAAGGTAGGAGTTTCTCTGCCATGAAGACACCGGGAGTCCAAGCACCTGAGTTTTAGTGCTGGATTTTCCACTTTCAACAGCATTTCCATGTCAAAGACAACACCAGAGTGCAACAGTCTATAATACATATTGATGGCTGCCACTAGCTTTAATAATCACTGTGGGACAATTTGCTTTTGTTTGGGTTTTTAAAAATTTTCCTAAGTGATACAGCTGTCCACTGACCAGGGTTTGTTGTTGTTGATTTTTATGTTGGGAGGGGAGAGAATCTCTGCTTCAGTTCGCCTTCAGCCTTTCACTGTGGTATTTCCTAGACCATGTTCCCTACAACGTCTACATCTGCACACACTGCCATCACCAGATTTTAAAACTTCAGAGCACCTGCATGATAGAAGCTTCAATACTGTAATTTAATTCCTCAACTATAATTGACTCAGCATAAATGGAATAGTGAGGTTTCTTTTTTTTAAAGGCTTTTTCACATGCACATTTACTTTATATCAGGATTTTAAACCTGAAATGCCAATTATACTTGTAGTAATTTGTAGTATAAATTCAATCCCTCAATATCCCTTATCAGAAGGTAAACAAAAGTCTGCAGGCTAAACATTTACATCTAGTTGTAGCTTCCTATATAAAATAAGTGCTTTGAATTCCCACCTCTTCCACAAAATTTCTTTTAGGGACCGTCGAATGTTTTGTCGAATCTGAGAGTTGGGTTGTGACTGGACAGGGCTAGCTGATGCTTTTCCTTGGCTGCTTCCAGAGGCGGTAGAAGTGGAAGATGGTGACGGCCTTTTGAGTCCTCCACCCAAACTGGAAGATGTAGCTGGTTTTTTGGAAACTGAGGGGCCGTGAGAAAGAGATGAATGTTTGGAAGGAACACTGCCTGATGAAGTAACACTGCCTGAAGGAACCCAAGGTTTCTTGGGAATTACACCTTTGAAACTTCCAGCAGAAGGTTTAAGTGGTTGCTTAGTAAGTGATGTGTTAGAGAAGGATGGGGACTTCTTTGAAGGAAGATTTTTAGCAAGAGAAGACATCTGTTTCTCTATTATAGCTGCAACAGCTTTCTTCGATGGCAATGTAGGCTCTGCTCTGTCTTCATGCCTTTTCTCTTCCCTTTGAGCTGTTAAAACAAAGAAGAAAATACAACATTAAAGGCTTATCTTTATAACTTCCTCTCAATGAAGATCAGCTACCAATCTATAAAGAAAAGTCTGTGAAATGACATCTCCAGAAAATAACGATCAAGTAGTCCATTTAAGCTATTTAATTTCACTAGGCTTTTTAAAAGCAATTTTAAAAACCATGCAATGGTTGACATAAGTTTTTTGAAGAAATTTGTCTTTGATCCTGCAGAGAGTACTTCATCCCAGACACCGACTGAAGACTTTAAGAGAGTTCCACTCCGGCTCTAAAGGCTGAAAATTTTATTTACAAGCTATGCAAGAAAACTGGAGGGGAAAAAAAAAAGGCACCACCTTCAAAGATTCCTGAGCGGGATAACCTTCAAAAATCCCCAAACTTTCACACATTAAAAAAAAAAAAAAGGTGGCAATACAACCCACATCTTATACTTAACGAGAAAAATACTCATAGCACCTTACAGAGCCTGTTTATTACAGAGGCTGACCTGACTGATAGAGTCCATGAATTTGAAACTGCATTATTACCTTAAGTTTAGTATTACTGAAGTTTAATAAATTCTTTCCCCCAGACTTTTTATTTTAAAGAGCAAGCAAAGACAGACAACCTACACAGCACAGAAGTCGCTTAAAAAATATGAACACATACTCAATCTACTCGCTGCTAGCATTAACATCATACTGATGACATTGCCATAAACTATTCTTAGATCTTACTATTCAGTTCCTAGCTAAATTCTATATTTATAGAATAATTAAACATTAATATTGCTGCTCAGGCTGTGGCCATCTAATGCCTGTTGTTTGCAAACTGTTCCATTCACACTATTCAAATTTTCCACTTAAGCTTTTTTTCCTAATATTAATAGAATAATTGATACATGTCATACACAAGAAAATTTACAAAGTGTTAAGTAAAAGCTCCAGTTTTCACCCATGCTGAAGCCGTACACGCACAGGACTTGAAAAGCAATCATTTCTTTAAACTGCATTTCATCTGCCCACCTTCTGGCACTGACAGAACAACACAACATAACAAAAGAAAAGCCAAACACAAAAGCACACCACCACCCCCCCCAGCAAAAAGCCCCATAATTTACAAGACATTAAAGTTACAGTGGGCTGACACTGGCACATTTATCCTGACAGCTCAAGCACGGAAGGGTTCTGATGGGAACTGCCAAAAAACAGCTCCTGAAATACAATTGTTTCAATTAGAAAAGTCAAAAGTTTTCTCCCCAAAAAGCCTTCTTTCTCACAAATCCATAGATAGCCACTGACCAGTTCACACGTTAATTTTTAATCTCATGTTTTTAGCTAATGAAGGTTTGTAGATTAATTAGGCCAGAAGCCCTCGTAGCAAAATGCAGGACCCTGCCTGGGAAAGATCCAGGAATTTAACTATTGATAACTTCACCAAGGACCAAATGGTCCCTTCCTCACCTTCCCCATCTGCTATAGCGAGAGCAGAAACTACAGAAAGGCTCTAAAGTGCCCAATCTTTGTCTCTGTTCCGCGACGGACGCGCAGGGGACCGGGCGCTGCTGTGAAGTCTGGTTCACGACACCCCACAAGTCAGGCCCAGCTTTCGGCGGAACCCTGCCCCAGACCGGGGAAGAGCTGGAGCACTCCGGCGACGTCGCCTCTGGTGCTCCCTCGCCGCGGGAGGAGACCGCCTTGCGACCCTTCTCCGGATGTCGAAGCTCAGGCGCTGCCTGAATGCCAGCGCACGCTTCCAGCAGACAGACACTGCCAACCCCGGTTTCTTTAAACGGGCTCTTACTGGTCGCCGTGTCGCCACAAATACAGGAACCAGTGGTTAAGATGAACTGAGAAACGATGCAGTACTTGAACTTTTGTAAGGCTAAGTATAAGGGTACGTGCTGAACATCTGTCTGCTGAAGCACAAGGAGCAGCAGCCGGAAGATCCAGGAACACTGCATCTTTATCCTGAATTTTTTCCTAGAAATATTTCACATGTAGACACCTTGAGGAATTTTTCTGAGTGAGATTTAACTGCCATAATACATTAAATAATTTCAATAATTTCAAAGAATGTGAAGATTTTGCTATAAAGTAGATTAAAATTATTACTCGCACGCTATTCCCGCAGGTTTCCCAGCAGACGGAGCTAGGGAGAGCTTCCGTGCGACCCACAAAGTCCCTCCTTGCGTCCCTGGCCTCCCCTACCCCGCCGACACTGTGCCTGTGGTCGGGGGGCTTTGGCAATCCAGGGAGGGAGGAACGGCATCGGGAACTATTGCTGATGGTTTTTGTTTGGTCAAGTTCAGCACCCAGAACTTGACAGAGGTAAAAAGCCAACCTCTTTTGAGCTAATAATCTTGAAGAGAGAGAAGGCGAATATCCAAACCATGCGTGCTGGGAACGCTGCAGGAATTGCTCTACTTCCATTCTTTTTTTCCTGGTTTATTGCCTCTCCTCCGCGGAATGGTACCTTTTGGGGCAGGCAGGACAGCAGCACGTTCCTGTGACCCATCAGGGAAAGGCAGGACAGCACAGGTGGGGTTTCAAAATGACAACAGTAAAATGCAGTCCTCAGTGCTAAGACCTTTAGTTCTTTTGGTTTACAGCAGAAGTACAAAATGTGAAATTCTAAATTCATATTTAATTCGCTGTACGCTGTCTTTTTAATGATTAGCTCAAAGTAACAAGAACTACATTGATAAAATAGTACAGCCAAGATGTTTTGTGTCAATCAGATGCTGTATATGATGAGAACTATATCCACACCACAAACCTCTCTGTTACAAACAGCTATAGCATAGTAAGAATATATACTTGTAAAATAAATCAATAAATAAAAGATGCCAGTACAAAGGTAGATTGATGTTCCCAGGGTTGAAGGGCAGCAGAATCAGTAAGCGTCCAAGAAGAAAAATGCAGAAGCATCCTTTATTCTGCAGGCTGACATCATGACTATTTAGAAGGGTTTCCATGGTAAGGCACGTAATCCTGTGCTGCTTTAGCCATTAGAAAGTGTGCAAATATTTCATAAGCCTCATGAAAGTTTAACAGTTTCAAACTACAGCACCACTTTATACCAGTTAAAACTGTCTACTCGGACATACTTGTTGATTAGAGAAATCGATGGTACAGATTTTGTAGGTACTAACTCGGTCACAACTGAAGAGAAGACGCAGTCAATACCTACTACACAAAGTAGCCACTGTGTTTTATACTGGGACGTTTCCGGTCCTTTTCATCAAAAGCTCCAGCATACCTACAACAAATGCTCTTAAACAAATTTAAAATAAAAGGACAGAGGTGACTACTGCACATTAGCCCATCCAGCCTGACGGAATAATAGGGCGCTTCACCAGACAGAAGATTCGTGCCACAATAAAGCATTCAGTGGCTCTTCTCTCTGGCACTTCTGAACACACGGGTGCACCTCCCTTGGCTTGACGTTAGAAACGCTATTTAAAACAAAACAAAGCATTAATTCCTCTTTTCCCCATTTTGTCCTGCGAGGCACTTGCTAGGACAGCAACAGGATTCTTACTGACTGGAGAGAGGCAGGGGCTGAAAAGACCGAGAGGTACAGATGGAGCCGAGGAGCCAGCTCATTCCCAGAGCGAAACCCGATGAATCCTCTGGCAGAGAGGTGCATTCCTTGCATGGCTTAAGAAACAGCATCACTACGGTATGCTCACTACAGACATAACTCCAGTCTCTCCCAGTAGCTGCCAGCAGATACAGAGCCCCTCCCTTGGGGAAACTCCCTGCCAAGCTAAGCCAAATGTGACAACGTGCAGCTAAGAAGGAAACTTCTGCACGCGGCGGAGGACGTAACCGCCACACTATCTGCTGTGCTACAGCTGACAGCCACCTATCCTTCACGTGATTCTGTGCCTCTTGACATGGACGTTTGAGCACTGCAACGTGGTTGTCGAGGCCCAATTTACGCACGATTTCCACAGCGTAGCGCTGGTAGATTTTGCATGAAGGATTTGCGGGACGCACTCGTATCATAATCCCTCGCTGACACTGGGAGGTTGTTTTACACCACCAGCATGGAAATAATCCAAAAGAAATTCTGCTCTGCCTCCGATCTCTTCAAAATATTTCTGTACAGCATTCAAGCCTGTTCTGGTTCTTCCCCCTTTCCCTCTCCACCCAGTCTTTCTTTGGAAGAGTAGCTTTAGAAAGCCACCTCAAAAATACACCACCACCACCCACTCCTGGTTTCTAAATTAAATTAAATTGAAAATTAAAATGATCTTATTTGTGATGGGTTATGTTGCTGAAGACATTATCTAGTTTTTCCAACTTTTAAATACCTGAAGAAATACGCTATTACTTTTGTTTGTATAGTTTTAAAATTACTCAAATCACGCTTCAAAGATCTTCAACTTCTTGCTCTAGTTGATGCTAGGAGTTTTAAGCGATGCTGTAGATAAACCATAGGCAGTTACTCTTGAAGAGTGTTTCGTGATCAGTCTGTACAGCTCAGATTTCTTTTTAAAATTTTGGGGAAAAAAAAAAGCGCACCAAAGTTACTATAGAACATTAAAGAGACTTTTGTGAAACGTGTCTTGCAGCCATGCAAGCTGATCAGTCATTATGTAGTACCAGTTACGAGAAGCTTCCCTGCAGAATTTCAAGTTTGGCATAAAGCACTTCATACACCAGAACTGCTGCCTCTGGTGCCTAATACTGTCTTAATGTTTCCCTGTGTTCTCTTCCACCTACACTAACCCCTGTTTTCCCCCCTCCCAGGATAAAATTCCTCACGGCAGCGTGCGGGGAGCACAGGCTGACGGCCGTGGTGGCTTGTCCAGCTTGCAGAGACCTTTCCGCGGCAGCAGGACGGCGGCAGCCCAGCGCTGGAGCAGACGCTGCCTTGCACATCGGTGGCCTTCCGAGCCCGCAGCGCAGAGGGTGCTGGAGCCCCTGGGGTTTCTACACCTCCTGCTCGTGCTCCCGTCACTAAAACAGGGAGTTTCAGAAAAACAAAAATCAAAAAACCCAGCCACAACAAACTTTCGAATGTATGCACAGCATACAGGTTTGTGCGGCACCACCAGTAAGAAAGCTGGTAGTTCACATTCAGTAGTTTTTCTGTAAAAAAAGTTCTGTAAAAGTCCATAATATAAGTAGTAACATCTAAGAAGCAGAGTAGAGCTGCTTGTGATCCACCTTTTAAAGTGGATCATTTACTACACTTGAAGGGATTTTTATGTCGTTTTTGAAAAAAAACCTCACCCTGATGTCAAATTAGAGGGAAGAAAATTCACTAGTGCAGCTTTGCAGTTGTTAGAAAAGCAAAAATACCTGTTTGAAGGTATTCTCCAACAGCCTGCGTACAAGCTGGCCAGAGCTGAGTAATTATGTATTTTGAGAAGAGCTGATCTCTAAAGACAGGCAGCAGCACCAGCCTTTACAACAGCTTCCACGTCCGACAGGAATGCAGGTGTGCGAAGACCGAGCCGAAGCAGTCATCTGTTCAGGAATTCACAAAAACCCCAGCCAGCGCTGCGAGTGCCGCTCGGCCACCGGCCGCTGAAGCTGCCCTGCGAAGTCCCGGGTGGCCCCGCAGCTCCTTGGTGCCCAGGCGCAGGCAGCTGTGCTCTCCGCTGCTCTGTGCGATCCCAGCGCGCTGCAGCTGCCCAGCCTGAGCCTTACGAAAGGTGAGGGCAGCCCGTTTTGACACGTGTCACAGGAGGAAAGGACGGGCTCTTGGCTCAGAGAAGTCTCTCACCCCTGTTTGCCAATACCTTAGAATTCAGGAACTGCATTTCCCCCTTTGTAAAACTGTTAAAACAGAGGACGGGCAGGATTTCTCAAATTTAAAACTGGTGGTGTTCCAGCAGCTTCCCTGTGCCTCTCAGGCTCCGTACGTCCGAACCGCAGCTGTGGTCTGCGCCCCTGCAGCGCAGAATTCAAACTGACGCCTCCACCCCAGTGCGGAGGCTGATACCCAACTTTCATCCAGTTGTTTTTCCGAAGTGGAACCTTGCGGTGCATTACCCAACTTCAACCCCTGAACAGTCCCCGGGGGAGCCGGTGCTGCCCACGCCGCTCAGCTCCTGCTCTCCCGAGACCTGTTTTCGCTAGACTTTTTGTCAAATATTTCTCTCAAAGATACCTTAGCGTTAGTTCTAGATAACTCAGAAGTGTTGCACTATTCTGAACTAGGTTTCGGTGTTAGTTTTCACTGTTAATTGCCTATGGAACAACGTGTCTACTTCCACTCTCAAGACCTAATCAAACTTTATTACCAAACGCTAGCGCTTCAGAGGCGTGCCTCCTGCCCTGCTGCTTTTCCTCAAAAGCCTCTATCAGTTCTAATCTGCAACACAATGAGAAGCTCGTAATTAAGCTGCCTGTGTGCCAAGCCTTTACAGTCAGGCACACAAAGAAAGTAAATCTGGCTTTAGAGTTAATTAATTTAGGAAACTCTGTGAGGAGGGTCTTTTCTGTGGTGGTGATTTGTTTGCTTTCAAGCCAACACTGGAGCTCACGCAAATCCATAGCTTTGACACCTACAGCTTTGTTTTAGTCTACATGAAATTATAGTGATTTATCTGATCTATGTTAGACGACTACATCTTCGTAACTACACCACTCCCGAGTGAAAAAGTGGCATTCTCTGCTGCAAGAAAAGGGCTCCTTATTTTCCAGACCGTTTACGGATCAGCATCATCACTCCTTGCAGGCACAGGCCATCTTCAGGTTCCCAGCTCAGTACAGATCAGACACGGCAAATCAGCAGCACCAAGATCAGCAGCAAAACTTGACTCCAAAGTGCAAGAGATCACCTCGAAAAACCCTTTTATTTGGGGACTAGCAGAGGAAGATCTTTTTCACTGGCTATGCAGTCAAGTGAGCAAGTTCAAAGAACTAAAGTAATATTAGTAAAAGAAAGCAAAACAGCGATAGAGGGTGGGGAGGTGTTTTAATCAAACTTTCATCACTTGCAGTGTTGATGACAAGAGATAAACCACCCTAATATTCATAGTCGTACCCTATGTACCCCAGAGGGTTTCTGCCTTCCCAGCTCCGCCCGGCACCCCCGGTGGCAGGAGAGCTGGCTTTCTGTCGTCCAAGCGCCTCGGGGGTGCTTGGTGCCCAAAAGGCAAAGTGGGAAATATGCCAGCAGCAGGGACCAGCCTTCCTAACCTAAGAGACTCGGCCAGAATCTTCACGTGGCTGGCATCCACAGGAGAGATGCGACATACCTTGCAGAGCAGAGAAGGGGAGCTCCAGCAGTTCACAGGCAGATGGTAATTGCTCCCCAGGGACCCCACTGCTCCTTCTAAGTGGCTGGGTCCCAGAGGTGTTGGCTTCAGCAGCCACGATGGGTCTGCCTCGCTCCACGGCCAGGGCTCAGCCCACCCAGCAGCCCCGGGCCAGCGCTGCCCTGCCACTCTCACGGTCCTGGCTCAGCGCTGAAGCTGCGTTATGCCAGCCGCTCCTGGACTATCATCCTTCCAAAGCCAGACCTCCAAGATTAATTTCTGAGAAGTTCTGGCAGACTCAGCTTAGGTATTCTGCTTATTAGTTGGTCCCTCAGTAGCCTTTCTGAAAACTCCTCTAGCTACCAAGGGTTAAGGCTAGACCTACTACACGTAGAGCAGCCATGTGTCCCAGAAAATTGCCAGTAACAAATTTTTTTTTTTTTATTCCCTTGGGTACTCTGAATACTTGCTGCCTCATATTATGGGTCTATGCTTCAGAATATTGCATTTCGCAAAGATGCCTTAGCTTTCCAGGAGTTAATTCAGATGCCAGTAGTAGTTCAGTCGTGGAACTTGGCACAGGCTAGTTTTTCCTATGGGGAAGCAGTCACACCAAAACAAAGGCATCAGGTTTAACTATGCTCAGTCCTTGCAGACAAATGTACTTACAACTTAAGAACAGCTCCTCAATTTAAGTAAAATATTTTTAATAGTTAGTAGTGAAGGATTTTTTAACAGCTGAATCAACAGCAGCATATCCACATCCACTGTGCTCAACTGAAGTCACAACTTAAGCTGGTGCAGTCTTTCCTGGAGAGAAGCATTAAATGGCACCAGTCTGTGTGCAGACAAGGCCTTACTTCTGTCCTTTCACAACAGCACTTACAGCCTCCTACAGCACTTTTACCTCCTGAGCCATAACTCCTCTGTCTTGAGTGCAGGACATTTTCCCCTGCTCTCTTTACAGTGGTGTATTTTCTTTCTTTTCTGTCTTTGTACTATTATTACAGAAAGGAAAAAAAAAAAGACATAGAAAAATACATAAATTATGTACGCTGTAATCCTAGCAAAGGATGAGCTCCCACTACAACTGTATTCCCTTTACAAAGTCTCCTTATTTTGTTAGAGGAACAAAACAGTCCAAGTGCCCTTTGTACCTGGGATCTATAACTACACAAGCAAACCCTATTCACTTTGTGAACAGGTCTTGGGTGTTGAAAAGTTTAACTGCAGAAGAAATGAAGCAAACTGAAAGGGGCAGTAAAAGGGAGTCTGTACCGCCAGAGCCAGGGCTCTACAAACCTGCCCCCCCCTTCCAGCAGGTGGCAGCATCGAGCTGTCTCTCGCAATTCACTGCTGTGAAGCAGCAGGAGAGGTGCCACAAACATTGCGCTTTTAATGAATGACTTCCCCTTCAAAGTCCGATCCATGAACAATTTACATAAAATATTAGTACCGAATAAGATATTGTAATAGATAGCTACAAACTCATTCTATTTATCTGTCTACAGCCAACTCAACAGAAGCTTAGTGGTTTGCTGTGACGAAGTGCTTTTTACTCAGGAAGTTCTACCACAAGAACAGTAATGAGACATATTTACCGTTTACGTTTTATCTAATAAACCCTCTTCACTCTGCTGTGCGCTTAGTTGCTGTTATCAACAAATGCAGTTAAGAAGTTTAAGTAGCTTTAGTACCTGAGTTGAGTAAATTATCAGTTCATGTGTTTCTTTTATGTCTAATAAGGCAAGTCAACTGAACTTCAACAAAGATCTGAAGCACCGATGAGTACTTAGTATGCACGTGACTGGGTAGTTTAAAAGTTGGGATACTGCAAACATCTCTCTTCTTCCTCTCCTTTGGATTCATTTTCTATTTGAAAAATACTGATACATTTGCTGCTGACTTCTATTTGACAATTAACAACAAAGAACATAGGAAAACAGTCTCTTCCAAGTGTTGCTCTGTCCAACAGAAAACCTGAGTTCAGGCGTTTCAGACATACACACTGATGCTGCTGATAAACGTCTGCACAGCAAACTGCATCTGTGAGGTGTTCCTTTCGCCCCTTCCTACAGGGCAGCAGTAAATATAATGGACAAATATTGCTACAAATGCAATACATGAAATGAGTTAAAGTTTAAGTATAAAAACTCTCAGCAGAGTCAAATAAGCAATGGACACAAACTGCTTTTGTGGCTCCTTCTGGGAAAAATGTGTTTATATTACACTGCTTAAAGTTCGTCCTCCTCTGGTATAATTAAAAACAACGTTTCCTAGTATTGCAAGATGCACGCCAGTCTGCTATTTCACAAATCATTTTGGGTGGTGCTTCCCCAGAAACACCTAGATGATCTTACCAGATAAACAAGAATTTTACATCTCCTTTGGTATGAGCTAGATACTGACAATTAACACTGGCTCACATGACAAATTCGGGATTTCTGTCACCACCTGAATCTCTGAACTATGTTCCTAAATCTCAACAACCCATACACTTGTACCAATTTGGAAGGTAGGATGACTTTTGAAAATCCATACAAATGTTAGGCACTGCGCATTAAATTAATACCAATTTTCCTAACGAAACGAAAAGCAACACTTCTGAAAGGGAATGTGATGCGTACCTAATTTCCTTTTACACGTGTAGCTCAAATACTGCCTGCAACTTTTAAAGTACTTTTACTTAATAATCACTTATCAAAGCAAGTTCAAGGTATTTCCCACTCTAGTTATTAATCAAATAAATAGGACTATTTTCACTGGAAACATCAAGAGATTAGACAGTGTCATTAATCAGGCTCCAGATTTTGGTGTACAGAGTCACTCCCAAGTACAGCCCTAACTCATCCCCAAAGAAGCTACAGAAAAAATTAGGAAGTGAAAAAACACGAACTAATGCGGTGAAAAAGAAATCACTGCTCTATATAACTGCATACTACTAGCACCAAATAGCCTTTTTTTTTTTTTTTTAAATGCAAAACATGTTGGGAGGAGGGGGGCTTGGTGGCAGGGTTTAGATGCAAATATACTGTATGTCCCTATCACCCAGTACATCTGTAAGAGTGGCTTGGTTTTTTTTTTTCTTACTACTTAATAAAACTAATGTGATAGATAACAAAATCTTGCATCTGACAAGTACAAAGTAAACATATAAAGTAAATCCATGTCTGAAATATGATAAACTGACTGATGGGAAGAGTAATAGAGAGAGTAATTCTGCTAATCATGTTAAGTTTCCTTAATTCCTGCAGGGCCTTGTGCGCCGAGGTCACAAACAAGGATGTGCAGCACACGCCTTGAAGCTCTGGGAGAACGCAGGCTGTATTTTCAAATCCTGTCTATGGAAGAATCCCGTCCTCAGCCTCCTCTAGGCGACCTTACGTCCAAACATTAGACACCTAGATGTCTGGTCATCTTAAATGTCTTACATAATGAATGTTCAGAAATTAGCATTTCTAAACAGGGAGTCACTTTGTTCTAACATGAGTGTCTACAACAGATGGGAGGTTTCGTCCGCTGAAGGTGTTTTTCTTGACAGAGTAACTCTGACTTTAAGAGTTCTAACTTTTAGAGTCCCGAAGTGAAGTGAGAGGACTCTCACGAATTTCCACAGTGCTATTAATTCCTATGTTTTGAACAGTATATAAAGATTTGCTACATAAACAAAATCTTGTAGAAGATGATGCAATAGCAGCTTCACAGGAAGATTACAGATCAAGCCCATCCAATCAAAAACCAGGACAAATTTTTTCACAAATACACAATTTACCTGGGAATTTAGTA